GAATCATTTAAAGTGTCAAAAATCTCACAGTTCTTACTGAGATCCATCTGTTTTTCCTGAAGTTCACTGGGTTGCTTTAAGCTTTTGGTTAATTTCCAGAATTGAGGAAAGAAAAAAAAAAAAGAAAGAGATGATCCTGGCAGTTTTCGTACAGTTTTATTTTTCCTTTCACGGGAGCAAAGGGATGTCCATGTTTCTTATTCAGCAGTGTCTGCTGACATCAATAACTCTATTTTCGAACCTGAGGAAAATTAAAATGTAGGTAAATAAGATAGTAATGAAATTACTGTTTATTAGCGTTAACAATTGAAAGGAAGTTATCTAATGCTGTGTCCCATCCTCTGAAATATTTTGCACAGGGCCTACTCTTTTGATTTTCACAAAATCTTGGTGGTTTAGTTCCATTTGTACCTATGATGATGCAAAGAAAGATCATACGATTCACAGAAGGTAAACAAGTTTTCCACCACCAACTAGTAAGCATGAGAAGAATATGAGCTTTGAACTTCATTCTGACTTTGAAATTTATTTAAAATAAACGCATAAGGTTTGTGTTCTTGATTGAATTATGTGCCATGAAAATATATGTTGTAAATTCTAATCCTTTGCATATATTTATGACCCCATTGGAGAATGGATTGTCTTTGTTTTGTTAATTAGATATAATTAGTATAGGTCATTTCTTGAGTTAGTTTCTTTCCAGATTAAACAAGCAGTAGAGAGATGAGGTCGTTATACACTAAGACGTATAGATCGCTAAACAACCAAGAAGCAGAAACTGAAGGCCCAAGGACCATCCTCTGGAGCCAACAAATGGAGCCTTCCCTAGAGTTGGCACCCTGAATTTGGAGTTCTAAGACTTCTAGGTCAGCTGTTCAAGCCCCACATCTGCTCCACATGAGAAACATAAGGCTGTCAGCTCCCGTAAAGATTTACAAAGCCTGGCGTCTGCTATATGGGGTCATTATGAGTTGAAATTGATGGATGGCCATAACCATGAGGAAATAAATTTGTTTCTTGATGCCACCTACATTCTTAGAGTTTGTTTCTTAATGCCACTAGATACTAAGACAGCTGGAGAAATTCAGGTATGCTAGATTCGGTGTTATGTATTTTTAATAGCTTTTAATTTTTAAAGCAATTTTTAATTGCTTTCAGGAATATATATGTGAAAAAAATCACAAAGCTTTTAGTTTAGGAAAAAATAGTAGAAGACATATGATATATATTCCCATTTAGAATTTGCCACAATTATTCAACATAATATTTAGGTTGTTATAGAGTGATAAAGGTAAATCATATTTCTAGTCGTAGTTGAACCACGTGTACGTGCATGTATGCATGTGCATTGTGTGTATATACGGAGCCTTGGTAGCACGGTGGGTTAAACAGAGAGCTGCTAAACACAGGATCAGTGGTTTGAACCCATCAGTGGCTCCAGAGAAATATGAAACCTTCTGCTACATAAAAACTTAAAAGTCTTATAATCTCACAGGGGCAGTTCTTCCCTAATTGGTTTGGGTTGTAATTTTGAAAATAGAAAATCTACAGAAATAAAGTTGCTTCATCTGTAGAGCCTTATTCAAGTAGTGTTGGTTGAATTTTTTTATTGCAAAAACTTTTCCAAAGAAAATATGTACCAGAATGGATAAAAACCCCTCAGCACCAACAGTGGAGAATAGAGATGTCAGGTGGATAAGGGGAAGATGGGGGAGGAAAGGGGAATTGATCACAAGGATCAATATATAACCCCCTCCCAGGGGGACGAACAACAGAAAAGGGATGAAGGGTGACAGAGGACGATGTAAGATATGAAAAAAATAATCTATAACTTAGCAAGGGTTCATGAGGGGAGGAGGAGAGGGGATTGAGGGAGGAGGGAATTGAGTTGATATCAGGGATCAAGTAGAAAGAAATACTTTTAAAACAATGATGGCAATATATGCACAAATGTACTTGACACAATGGATGAATGAATGGATTGTGATGAGATGTAAGAGCCCCCAATAAAAGTATTTAATACAAAAATGACAGGAGGAGATATAAACATAAAAGAGTCACGCAAAAATATGTAATAATTGCATGATTTGGTCTTGTATATAGGATGTATTGGCTATGGTCTAAAAATTTTGTATTTTTTTTAATCTCTAAGACTCAACAACAACATATTTAAGAGAGTAAGTTGTAATATTTGCATTTATCTCTTAGAATATACTTCCAATCAAATTAAGGAATGTAATTCAGGAAGTGTTTTTTTGGCTGGTGTTACTTTGTTTAATATAACATTTCATTTCATTTGATGTTGCTCCTGTGCGCAAACTCTACAACAGATATAAGTAGTACCATAGATACTTTCAAATAATACACGCCTTATATAATTTTGTATCTTCTATTGTTTGCTCTAAGAACTCCAGTTCTCTTTTATTTTTGTGAAACCATTGAAGGCAAGCATGAAAGAATGGGAAAAGATTGAGCTAAGTGGCATTCAGAGTTTTTAAATGGAAAATGTGTATTTACTAAGAATTTTTAGAATATTTTTTCCACACTTCAAGGCTTATTCTCTTCAAAAATATCTAAAATCATTTCAAGAGCACACGTGTCTTTGGGGAATTTTGATGACTCTTTTTAAAGCCCACATGCTACATTTTTGTCAGTTACGTTCTCTCAGAGACAATTTTCTTCTGAAGTAAAATTTCGTTAAATCAGCCTTTCCTGATTGAATATGTTGACACGTTTTGCAATTTGATACTTGAAAATGTGTGTGTGTGTGTGTGTGTGTGTGTGTAATCAGAAAAGGGAGAACCCTTTCTTCGTCTCAGCTTGCCTCATTTGTTGTTATTCCATTCAAAATCATTGACTGCAACCCCACCTGGTCAGCAGCAGCTTCACAGTTGTTCCTAGGTCTAAGTCCATTACCATAGGGGCTCCATCAGTCCGCCTCATTGATGGTGATACTTTCTTTCACTATGTACTCTTTGCCAATACCACAGTTTTAAATATCATCTTTGGTCTTAGTGATTGTCCACTTTTTGCAAGCAAATGAGGAGATTGAAAATACCATGGCTTGTGTCAGGTGCACCGCAGTCCTTTCTTAAACACATTAGGGAGGTTTTTTGCAGTAGACTTATTTGTTCTTTTGGCAAGCCATGGTATTTTCAATATTCTTAGCCAGCACCAGCTATAATACATTTCTGAAATATAAAAAGCATAAGTTATTACTCAGTTTATGTTAAAATACATACATTAGGTACAAGTGGGCATCTCTAGGCTTTTTAAATTTTTTTTATTTTTACATTTCTTAGATTTATTCTCTACAAATTCTGATTGTGCCCTTTATTTATTCTTGTTTTTCCTTTTTAATAACTGTATTGCTTTTTAAAGGACATAGTTTCCTCTTGCATTATTTTCCTGTCATTTCACTCAGAGACTAGGGCAAGCATGTCACAGACAGAAACATCATAAAAATCTAATTTTCTATTTTCTTTGAAGAGTTTACAAATGTCACTCCTTGGTTCAAATCCTACATGCAACACTTTAGTCTGCATAAAATTCACATTATTATCAGATTCTTAATTTGGTAATATAGTTTAGTTTATCATCTAAGAATCAAACCAAATAAATGTTTCTGAACATACTGTAATCTGCAGTGTGCACATGAACACAGTAAGAGTTTCTTTGAAAATATTGATTGATTTCCATCAGGTATTTTTGGAGAGCAAGAAAGCAAAGGAGTGATTGCACAAAATGCCTGTTATATCAACTTCAAAATTTTTAAGGAAAAATGGAATTAAAAGATAATGGAATTTTCCCACAAACTCTTTGAAGCCCATGTTTGTGTACATGTGTGTACATACATGTGTGGGTGTGTGTGCTTTAGTGCCTAACTTAGGTGGTTGGAAGAACTTTCTTTAATTTACTCTCACAGGTAGTTTCCTGATATTTTTGAAATCGGAATAAAGCTGTACTTGTAAAGCTGACAGGGGAACTATATTAATTCCTTTTTCTAGCATGCTTTTTGGGCAAAGTCAACGAGAAATCTTAGTGGTTCATCAGGCTCGATATCCATAGAGGATGTTCAGAATGGGACAATGCTTCCCCTCTAGTTAAGGGATGGACCAAGTTGCCCCTGCAGGGAGTGAGCCTAGGGGTGAGCAGGGGCAATAACAGGTACCTTTTATCTGCTGTGCGGCAGCACCACGGATTGCATCACGTTGGGCTTCATCGGCTACCTCATGCAATGTGATGCCGGAGATAAGATCAATCAGATGGACGGCACCGCGTTCGATTTGAAACACGAGCGCTCGTCCACAGCAATTGCCGAGTGCGTATTTCAGGGCAGCTGACTGCAGGGGGTGACTGAAGTCAAGTCTCTGCAACAAAACCAGTCAGTCAAGAACTGGGCCGCCAGTGCGCACCGTCATCCTATTTCTTCCAAAGAAATTACCTGGGAAAGAGTTGAATTATTTGTGTAGCTTTGTTTTATACAGCTTTTGTTTTTAACTTCACGCTTTATTATGTCACCAGCTTGGGTACTGGCTTCTCTCAGACAACATGGACTTTGCAGTTTAGGGATGTTTCTCGTGTTCAGTACTTTACAACAGTTTACCTTTTTATTTCTTACTAAAGCGTTCCGATTGCAAGTACATGAACTTAACTGAAACATAATTTATTTTTGTATTTGTTAGTTATATTTGTGGGGAAAAGACGAGACTCTGCTCCCGTAAAAATGCAGTCTGAGAAACCATATTGAGGGTTGCTATGAGTCAGAATCGGTGGATCTGTTTCTGGATTATATGGATATTTATTTACTGCATTGGAATATTGACGAGAGCCTCATTATTAGTTGTTTCTTATTCTTACAACTTTGGCTTTTACTAAAGTGGCCTGCTTTTTCATTAACATCAAAATGTTATTTTTCTATTTCTTATGTGGAATGTCAAAATTTTGATGTCATAATTAGATGCGAAAACCGTGCTTACTTATTCCGTTTTGTTTTGTAGCCTACTGTGTGCGAACGAGAGCTGTGCGTATTTGCTTTCCAAACTCTGGGAGTAATGAATGAAGCTGCCGATGAAATAGCAACTGGGGCTCAGGTAGTAACACATGACATTAATTATGTCTTCTTTTGATTTGAA